CAATGATCATATCTGCAATTCTCCTAATAGAATAGTAGGGTTAGAGGAACTATATTTTCAGTCAGCATTTTTTATATGTTTTACAATGATTTACCCATGATAGGTTCTCTTGCATTTTCTTATTTGTTATTTTTTGTGTTGCTAGGCAAATGCTCTCTATGGAGATATGCTTGATAAGGTCAAGGCCGCCAGTATAGAGAAACTTGCTCGTCAACAAGTGGACGGTGTGGTCCGCCAAAGTGAAGATGGTGCAGAATTTTACGTAGAATCTTCCATCCCTAGTACATGCAAGCAAAGGATCCCCGCCCATGATGGTGGATGTGCCTCGATTCTTTTTGAGTATAACTCAAGTAAATTGATAAGTGGAGGGCAGGATCGGGCAATTAAAATGTGGGATACCACAAGTGGATCATTAACCAACAGTTTTTATGGTTGTCTGGGTTCTGTTCTTGATCTTTCCATCACACATGATAACAAATTCATCATAGCAGCAAGTAGTTCAAATAATTTGTATGTGTGGGATGCAAATTCAGGCAGGATACGGCATACTCTTACTGGGCACATTGACAAGGTTTGTGCAGTTGATGTGAGCAAATTTTCAAGTCGCTATGTGGTGAGTGCTGCATATGATCGCACAATAAAAGTTTGGGATCTGCAGAAGGGTTACTGTAACAACACTATCATATTTCACAGCAACTGTAACAGCCTTGCGTTTAGCATGGATGCGCTGACCATCTGTTCCGGTCATGTTGATGGTAATCTTAGATTATGGGATGTTCAAACAGGCAAGCTTCTGAGTGAAGTTGCTGCACATTCACAGGCTGTTACATCAGTTTCACTCTCTCGGAATGGAAACATGATATTAACCAGTGGGAGAGACAACTTGCACAATCTATTCGATATACGCACCCTTGAAATTTGTGGCACTTTCAGATCAAATGCAAATCGAGTTGCATCTAATTGGAGCCGATCCTGTATTAGTGCCGATGACGGTTATGTTACTGCAGGTTCTGTTGATGGATCTGTTCATATTTGGTCAGTATTAAACGGTAAAATGGTAAGCACATTGAAAGAACATACATCCTCTGTACTTTGTTGTTCATGGAGTGGTCTTGGTAATCCTTTGGCCACCTCAGATAAGAGTGGAACCATATGTATTTGGTCATGATAATCAGTTCAAAGATTGCTCAACAATTCAGATTTCAGTCAGGATCATGAGTGTCTTTGTTGATTTTAGTTTGCTTAAAGCACAAAGTTGATTGTGAAGCCACAAATGGGGCTGACATTGTAAATACCACATGTTTTTAAGCTGAAAAAAATTAGATATCTTTAGTTGGTATTGATTGCATTCTAGATATGCATCATGCACTGTTCATTATTTGTGTAAAAATAAAGTGGTTTTTCGTGGTAATAATTTTCATTTGTATGTATTGCCGAGCTCAGAAATTTGGGTTTTGAATAATCAAATATTCTCTCCATCCAAAATAAGAGTTATTTTGGTATTAAAAAATTATGCTAAAATAAGTATCGCATTAGAAATTCAAGACAATAATGGTAATTGGTTTGAACTATACCCTTGTATTAAAAAACTACTAATAGAGTTCAATTCTTAAGAAATACCTAATAAGTAGGAATAATTTAGTAATTATATCTTACATTTTTTTTAATAGGTAAGAAATGAGCTAAAATGATACTTATTTTGAGATGGAGGAAATAATTAATTTCGGAGAATCTTCCAACTGATTAGGTAGAAAGATAAGAGTTTTAATCACTTTAAGCTAACACTTATCTATGATTTGCTGTCATGCTGTGATTGCATGGGGGTAAGACCATGGAAGACTAATTACATTTGAAAACTTAGAACAGAGGCAATTGTTTTGGAGTTTAAGTTTTATACTCTTAACGATATAAACTATACTTGTATAATCAGGTCACTTATACCTTAAAAAGGTAATTGCAGATGATTTTTTATGATAAGTATCAATTAATAACATGAAAAAATGGTTATTAACCTACTACTATCAGGGCGGAACCACCTTAATTGGATACCCTTCATCGAAAAATTATACTATATATACACGTAAAGTTTTGACTTATATTGATATATATGGTATTTTGGACTCCTTGAAATAACAAAGTAACCTGTAGTGTAGATGGCTAGGGCTATTGCAAACCCACTCGCTTCCCATGTTCGAATCCCTGCAAACAGGCATAAGTTTAACATAAATGTTCAGTAGCTTATTGGTAAATAGTGTCAAGCTTCTCTTGAGTGACCCAAGTTCAAATCTCACAAAATAAGGATTTCTTTTCAATTAAAATTGAATTATTTTCTTAAATTTTGATACCTTTTCCTTGTGGAATAAGATTTCTTATATTTTAATACATTTTCCTTGTGGAATAAGATTTCTTTAAATTTTAATACATTTTCCTTTTGGAATAAAGTTTTATTTCTCTATAAATAGGAGACCCATTTACCCAAATTATATCACAATATTATTAAAAATAGAATCTCTATAAATCATCATTTTTAAAAAAAAATATTATTCGGACCTCCTTCATAAAATTACTGAAGATTTCCTTAAATTTTAATACATTTTCCTTTTGGAATAAGGTTTTCTTTCTCTATAAATAGGAGACCCATTTAACCAAATTATATCACAATATTATTAAAAATAGAATCTGAAATAGAATCTCTATAAATCATCATTTTTTTAAAATAATTTACTATTCAAAGTTTGGACCTCCTTCATAAAATTTCTGGCTATGCCACTGCCTACTTCAAGGTAGATCTACAATATTACAAGTTGTTTCATATATTTATTAAGAAATTGACTAAATACCTCTAAATATTTTATTGTAAATTTAATTATTATATATTAATTTGAAATTATTACTGAAACTCACAAACTTCAAATTCTAAATCCGCACCTAAATGGAGCAACTCACAGCATGCATAAAATACAATAGATGACATGTAACATGTTTACATACGTTGCTTCATAGTTTTGTTTAAATTGTCAATGAAGCCAAGGCATTATTTTTATCAAGCAAACTAAAACTAAAACAATGACAAGCCGCGTTATTAAAAGCCTTTTCCTCTTATTTTCCCCTTTTGAAATGTGAAAAGTTAATGGATTAGAAACGGTTCAAACCCTCTATCTATACCTTAACAGAAAACATCACTGGCATGTTCTAGTTAATCACTTATAAAATAATCCCATAATACATAAACGTGCACGTTTAACTTGATTTATATCTAAGTTTTTCAATTTCGAGTGTATATAGGTGAACATATGTGTCCTACATAACATAATATATGTAGGGTGTGAATAGCCACATAGGACATGTAGGACGTATGAAATATATGCATAATACGTAAACGTGGCCGTTTAACTTGGCTATACCCTCCAATTTTGAGTGTATACAAGTAGATGCACGTGTCCTGCGTATCATAATTAACTTGACTTAGGGATGGCAATGGGCGGGGAGGATGCGGGGTTGAGGCGGGGCGGATTTAAGGTTGTGGGAGGGGGGGGGATTGAAGTGGGTTTTTTTAAAACTAATGTGGGGCGGGGAAGGTTGCGGGTATATGTGATTTTATGTGGGTTTAAATTTAATTTAAATTTTTATATGTTAAGAGTGACATAGCATTACTTATTAAGATAATTTCTTTAAAGCTACTAAAATATTCAAGATAGTAAATGAAAATGGTTCGATAAAAAATAATTCAATTTCTTACTTTGTTTCCCAATCGACCTCTAAAAATAAAAATTTATGTCACTATCCTATTATATTAATACAACTTAATGAAAAAATGAATTTATTTTTAGTGTCAAACTTAACTAGAAAAAGAAAATATTAAAAAAAAGTATGTGGGGCGAATTCATGCAGAGCAGATCTATGCGGGGCGGGATGGGGCGGGTTGAAAATGAAAAAAAAATGTTATGCGGGACAGGGCGGGGGGAATAAAAATTTTGCGGGTTAAGCTCAACCTGCCCCGTCCCCACCCTACACCGCCCCATTGCCATCCCTAATTTGACTTTAGCTAACATCTAAGTCCTCTAATTCTGAGTGTGTACAAATAGACAGACGTCCCAAATAGACACATGTGTCCTAGCATAATACAAGCTTTAGGGTTTATTAGGCATAATGTCAATTAAGGCAAGTTAAAAGAATACGTTTATCTATTATGCCTAAAATATACTTCTATATGAAATTATGGTAAATGCAAAGAACTAGACTAACAAATAAGAGCGCAAAACATTAAAGATCTACCAGAGAATTTTTAAAATTGAAAGAAAAAATTGATATTTTCTTGTTTTCATTTGGTTTTAATTTTTAAATTTAAAAGGCGACCAACAAGGAATATTGATTTGGTTTTGATTTTAAATAAAAAAATATCTGAAAAAATTAAACCAAACCGATTACATATATAAATACCTATTGAAAAATTAAAATTATTTAATATTGATTTTTTGATTTTCAGTGAAAACCCTTGAGTGGGACCTTTTTCTTTGGTAATTAATGGCTTTTATTACCTACCATAAGAGATAAGAGATATGTATAATTTTTTTTCTTTTTCTTTTTTCAGCTCAAGTTAACAAAACAAAAATAACATAGTTGGACAACAACAACAACCAAAAATAAAAAAGAGAAAAAACTTTAAAATGCTTATGATTGCCATAATAGAGTTACACTTCGTCTGACCTATTGTATTTAACTAAATTGAATTTAAGTCTTTATAATAAGTAATATTTTCTTCCTTTAATTTATGTAGAACCACATTAACATTTTAAACATAGTGTTTTAATTAAAATGTTGTTAAATTAATCAAAGAGGAAAATATTATTAATTAGTTGAATGGGCTAATTATAAACATTTCTTCCCGCAACAAACTACTATCTTTTTTCGCCGACCCTTCAACAAGAATTCATTTGTTTTTTTTTCTAAAAAGATATCTCAAATTCAGTTATCACAAAAAAGGTCATACATCAAGGTCGTGATGGAATGATTTGGATTTCTCTATCCTTAGTAACAAGTTTCCAGTTCGAGCTCCTCGGAATGAAAAAAATCATGTTGCGAGTGTTGTCCCAAAAAATAGTCTTTGCAATGCGCAAATCCAAATTTAATGGGACTCCAATACACAAACTTTCTACCTACAAAATACATCCACATAGGTCGTAATGGGATGGTTCAGATTTCTCCATCCTTAGTGACAAGTTTCGGGTTCGAGCTCCTCAAATGAAAAGAAAATCATGTTGGAAGCATTATCCAGAAAAATAAGTCCTGCAATGCGCAAACTCGAATTTAATGAGACCCCAATACACAAACTTTCTACATATAAAATACATCAGCATAGTTCGTGATGGGATGGTTTAGATTTCTCCATCCTTAGTGACAAGTTTCGGGTTCGAGGTCCTCAGAATGAAAATAATCATGTTGGAAGAGTTGTCCCAAATAATAAGCCCGAATCGATATTTAATGAGGACCCAATACACAAACTTTCTACATACAACTCATGACATATTATTACAAAGTCTTTTAACAATATAACTAACGTTCGTCATTCTCTTTTAATAACCAACAAATTAACGTGTTCAACTTGCAAACTCTTTTTCACCTTTTATTGCATAAAACCATTCCTTCTAACTGCTCATTGCCTCACTAAAAAAGTTACCTTTATTTCCTTCTTTATCTGTTAAAAAGTTTTCTTCTGATCAATTTGTAAAAACCAAAAAACCCCACACTTATAAATTGCATTTGCTTGTGTAAGCAAAATGTATAGAAGACCCATTGCTTCATAACATCATAATTTTATTTCCATATTTTCACTTCTTCTTTTATTATTGTTGAGTGTTATTTCTTCCCATAAGCAATCAATCACTTGTTTCATTTATCTATAAAAGGCCTCCTCATAGTCATCTAAAATTATCACATTTTGAGTCTCTCTTATCTTTCAAAATGAAGAAGTTGTTTCTAGTTCTTTTCTCTTTAGCTTTGATACTTAGGCTCGGGGAGAGTTTCGATTTCCACGAGAAAGAATTAGAGACTGAGGAAAAATTCTGGGAGTTGTATGAGAGATGGAGAAGCCATCACACTGTATCGAGGAGCCTTGACGAGAAACACAAGAGGTTTAATGTGTTTAAGGCTAATGTTCACTATGTTCACAACTTCAACAAGAAGGATAAGCCTTATAAGTTGAAATTGAACAAGTTTGCAGACATGACTAACCATGAATTCAGACAGCATTATGCTGGTTCCAAGATTAAGCATCATCGTACTTTGCTTGGAGCTTCACGAGCAAATGGAACTTTCATGTACGCCAACGAGGATAATGTCCCTCCTTCTATTGACTGGAGGAAGAAAGGTGCTGTCACTCCTGTCAAAGATCAAGGCCAGTGTGGTAAGAAATTAGTAACAAGTCATTGATCATTTTCTTTTATAATGATAGTGTACGTTCAGGTCAGTTTGTATGCATCTCGACTATTCCACTTAGTATCTGCTATCTCCCACCACACAAAAGCCCTTACATCATCTAGTATAATGACATATAAAAGGGTAAACAAATATGACTTTCTGGAATATGATAGCTAGCTGATGGAAGATCTTTTTGTGTGTTATAGGAAGTTGCTGGGCATTTTCAACAGTGGTCGCGGTAGAGGGGATAAACCAAATCAAAACAAAGAAATTAGTATCTTTGTCGGAGCAAGAACTTGTTGACTGTGACACTACAGAAAACCAAGGATGCAATGGAGGATTGATGGACCTGGCATTTGACTTCATCAAGAAGAGGGGAGGCATCACAACAGAGGAGAAGTATCCTTATAAGGCTGAAGATGACAAGTGTGACATTCATAAGGTAAGACTCTATTGCATCAGTAGGATGTCTGAATCAGACTAGTCTTGTTTCTAATACATGGGAATGGATTTTATCGAATTAACAGAGGAATACTCCGGTGGTTTCAATTGACGGACACGAGGATGTTCCTCCTAATGATGAGGATGCACTGCTTAAAGCAGTAGCCAACCAGCCTATTTCTGTAGCTATAGAAGCTTCAGGTTCTCAATTCCAGTTCTACTCTGAGGTAAAATGATACACCATTGTCTCTTATGTTCAAAGGTGTTTACTAGCTATAAACATTTCTGAAACTGTAAATATGGCAGGGCGTATTCACCGGAGAATGTGGTACTGAGTTGGACCATGGTGTGGCGATTGTGGGGTATGGCACAACCGTCGATGGAACCAAATACTGGATTGTGAAGAACTCATGGGGAGCTGAATGGGGAGAAAAAGGATATATTAGGATGCAGCGCAAGGTTGACGCTGAAGAGGGGTTGTGTGGTATAGCAATGCAACCATCCTACCCCATCAAGACTTCAAGCAACCCTACAGGATCTCCTGTAACCACACCTAAGGATGAACTCTAAGTTAAATGCACTCAGCCTCATCTGTGCTTATTTTAGTCTTTATGCAAGTATTAGGCATCTACCCAGAAAGATGTCAATTTACATAAGATACACTTAATTCCATGATGTCAATTTGTAGTGTTCTATAGACAGCATTGGAATTTGATTTGATAAAGTTCATCTAAATATAATGTTTGGCCTGTAGACAATTGGGAATATACTTGTTTAATCCTACAAGAGGACCAAAGGATGAAAAATCATTGGTATTACTATGCTTGATATTGCTTTCAAGCACAAACCACCCCATTTAAGACTTAAAAACAAATTAAGATATACAATTCACGTCCATTATTGTGTAACTAAAGCAACAAATTGCAGGTACTTGATAAAGAGAGATAACGACCAGGAGGAGAATACTTAACGACAACTAGTTATTCCATCCAAGAGAGCAAATACTTATAAGAAATATCAAGAATCATTAACATGTTTATTCAAATTTAAAAACAAGCAAGACAAATGTCTAACAAGTTCTTTTGTAGTTGCTTTGACATACAAAGATTTGCTGTCAACCGTAGCACTTTATTGGGTCGTTGCAGCCCTTTGCAGCCGACTGCTTGCAACCTCCGCCCCCACCCTTCTCTAGATATTGCTGGTGATACTCTTCAGCTCTATAAAATCTCTTAGCAGGAAGAATTTCCGTGACAATATTCCCATCCGTTAATTCATTCTGCTTAGCTTCCAATGATTCCCTTGCCAGTTGAGCCTGAGCATCATTATAGTAGTATATTCCTGAGCGGTATTGCTTTCCCACATCATTACCCTAGCAACAACCATCATCATGAGATCTATATACTGCTCTTTGTGAATGTTAAACTCTAGGTAAAGGCAAAAGCTCACACTCGACAAATACAACAAATATATCAAGTGAAGGCAAAAGAGTCCAGGGGTGGAATCTGCAGTAACATTCTAAGATGCTCATGAGAATTCGGTAAATCTGCACTATGAGGAACTACTTTCTATTTCTATTCCTAAAAGGAAATAAGAAACAGGGGAAGAAGATTGAAGAAACTTATAAATATTTTAGTTCCATGTGATGGATGACTGCCTGTTTTGGCTAATCTCCCAGGCAGCAAAAAACTTCCTTTCTTCATTAATACGCCAAATGGAATAGAATGTAAAAGTGTAACTACAATGATTTTCACTTTTTGACTTCTTATCTGAGTTAGCAATATGAATGCATTATGTCGAACGGCACATAGTGAAATCAGATTCAGAGCTGCAGCTATGACTTACACTAAGGTTAGGATCATGCAAACTTAACTGAATAGTACTAACTGTATCAATGGAAATTGGAAACACATAAAAATAGTTTTTTTTATAATCATGGTGTCCAAGCCACCTCGACTAATTTCTCAGGATACTAATTACCTCCAACCATCATAATTACAGGATAACTCTATCCAGCAAGGGTTGGCCAGATAGGAAGAAACAACTAGTGCCTAATGAACTTGAGATCTCAAGCACGGTTAAACAACTTGTGGGTTGCAAGCAGCAGAGCTTTCAAACTCTGTCTCAATTTGTTTGACCTGTTTTCCTTTTAAATCCGATTAAAAATCATTTTTTAGCAACTCTATAATTTGTTCTTAGGAGGAATGTTATAACTTTTTGAAAACCCAAATAGTAACACATTCACATAAAATGAAACTGAGAGAATAACAAAAGACAATAAAATGTTAAGATGAAGGAATTTGATACCTGGCGATTTAGAGTGGTCGGGTCATGGCGACTCCAAAATAGAGAAAGAAGATTGGAATAGGGGCAGACATTCGGGTCAAACTGGATCCGAATGACCTCGGCATGTTCGGTTTTTCCGGAGCAAATAAGGTTGTAATTCGGGTCATGGACATTCCCCTGAGAGTACCCAACCTCCGTCTTCACTACTCCTCCAACCCTCTGGAAGGCCAATTCGACTCCCCAAAAGCAGCCGGCAGCAAATTGGGCAAACTCCAGATCCGACTGATCCGGGTTGTCGAGATCCGGATCCAGTGCTGGATTGGTGGTTGACTTGCTGCTGCTGTTAACCCCCATTGCTCAATCTCTAATAATATCAAGTTTGTGTATGCATCCCTTTATTTTATATATATATATATATAGAAATGGATTGCATTATACATTAATATGAATCTGGTCATATAATTAGCTAATATCCATTATACATTTGCCATTTGAATTTTCTTCTCTTGTTGGTAATAAAAACAAAAACAACTTGCTACATCTTATATGTGTTGACCAAGACCATATATTTAAATTAAGGAAGTAGGAATCATAGATTATTACCAATAGCCAATAAGTTATGACTTCCAACAGCTATTTTTGTAAATTCTTTTTTCACACCACCACCTGTATGTCTTGCAACTAAATTTGAATATGGGTCGCAAAAATCTCACATTGGGTAAAGAGCTCTCTAACAAAAGCAATTTCATACGAAGAAAATTAAAAAAAAATCCTCCATACACAGAAACTTCTAATTAAGAAATATTTTATCGTTCCACTACAATTTTTGTTGATATATGACTTCACTTTCAAGTTTCAAATAATGAAGTCACTATTTACAAGTGGGAAAAACTACGCAACAAAATAAACATGTAATACGTATTTATGATAAATGCTATGGTTTAAAATATTACAATTTGTAGTTTTACCCTATGGTTTCATAGCAAATTTCTCTCTCTCAAATAGTTGAAGCCAAAAAAATATTCCACATAAATATGACAATTGTATTATGTATCAAATGTATTTATATTCCATTTCAACTATATTTTGTACTGTATTTTGTATCAATTGTAGTATGACATTATCTATTCTGTCAATTGTATTTGTCGACACAAATTGTGTTCGTTAATACAATTGACACAATTATAATCGATACATGATACAAAGCAATTGTATTCAGACAATTATATTTGTATTTATATCATTTGTATATGTATATTGTATCATTTATATTTTTGATACAACGAATACAACATGTATTCATCCCCTCTCCTCCCTCTCTCAATCTCACTCCTCTCTTCTTAGTTGTATCAATTGTATTCGTGATACAACCCGATACAACAAATACAACAGGTAGTCAACCTCTTTCCTAGATCTTGCTCGCCTCTCTCCTCCCTCCTCTAGTCTAATTCACCTCTCTCCTTCCTCCTAACATGTAGCTATAATTCGTAATTAAGCAAACTATAATACAAATCTTTAATTAAGTTCAAACTATAGTCATTTTTGAAAGTTTCCTTTACAAGTTAGAGTCCATTTGCTTTCTCTGTTGGGCTTTTATAAGTTCCAACTATTGGGCTCAGCGTAAAAATGGTTCTCTCTCTATGGGATTAGTAATCCCCTTTTTACTTGAGATAGCTAGTCTCACGATTTAAATACAAAATATATCTCGAGACACATAAATATTCATAGCTAAATATTGGATAAAATAATCTTATAGTTTATTTCGAAATTATTGGCCTTGGTCCCACTGACCAAACCAACTCTAAATACTTTGAATACTCATAGTAATAATTAAGGGAAAAGGTAGAAGTCAATATACATATAGCATTCTAGAAGCTCTTTCTTAATTCGGCCTATATTGTAAAACATTTAGAAGTAAAAGGTTTCAACTTTCAACGAAGAAAAATGAGAAGTCCTTTAATTGAATATAATTTATATAATATCAAGTACTTTTTCACCTTTTAACTATAATAATAATAACCAAGTAATGATAGTTTTAGCATGGTTGAGGAACAAAAGAGACCTTTCAACCACAGCAAATGTACGAAAATGACCTATATATAAAGCATCACAAAATTATTAAGTGACCCTGTAGTAATGCAAATTAATAGAAATAACGTGTACGGATCACTTTTTTAGTTCTGTTTTTTTTTTTAAAGAAAGAAAAAACGATGGTCACCTAAAATTCTACTCGTGAAAGTTTTGTTATGAAATTTAAAATTTTATAATAATGACTACGTTTTTTTTTTTTATATTATAAGAGTTTAAAAGTGGTTATTTTTGTGAATTTTATTAAGCATGCAAGTAGACAATATTTAAAAGAAGAATCATTTTTGTCTCCACAAAACCTCAAGAATAATGATGTTGAGTCCCTTTGTGTTCCAACTTGGCATAGTCTTTGGGAACAATAGCAATATTAATGAGTACTTAGACAAAAATTCACACATCAATCTAAGGTGGGGTGGGTCATATAATTATAGAAGATTTCTTGTTTTGAGGAAAAGAAACAAAGTAGTCCTTTTCTTTTAGTCCTTTCTGTGAATTGTCTCCTTGCTTTAAATCATGGCATCCACTTCTTAACTGACCACTTCTCAATTGCAATAAGGATTGGCAAATATAATATCTCTTGATAAAACTTTTCCAAAATATTGTGAGAGTAGTTTAGTCACTCACTTGTATCATATTTTAATTTTTTTTTATTTTCTGACTCGGTATTTGATACTAGGAATTGACTAGCTCCCTAATAAAGAAGATTCTAAACTCAACGAGACTAGAACACGATATCTTTGATTAAAGTGGAACAATACTTATAATATATTATTTTATTTAGGATTTATTAATAAAGCGAGACTATTAATCAGATGGAGATATTTGTGGATAAGAATGAGATTTAAATAACTACAAGGTTGCAAAACCAAATAGCTACTAGGACTATATATATTGAGATTATACGTATGACCTTTTCAACCAAATATTTTCTTAGAGCAATTTCAATTTGAAATATAGTATTGAGTTTTTTAATACCAACCACAAACTAATTGAACGAAAAAGTGTCATTCTTTTATTGTTACTAATAGTATTAAACTATATAAGGTCTGGGACTATATAGAACCTCTCGTGCAAATCGAAAGCTAGACCATACTGTCTCGCTTCTTTAATCATCAAAATAACGCTTTAGTGATTTCAGCAGCGTTAGAAAATAGAATCCAAGATGCTTCAAAGAATTATAAGTTTATTTCACTAATTTCCACATGACACTTGATTATAAAAGAAACAAAACTTCAACATATTGAAGCCAATAACAATAAATTACCTCACAAGTTTACTAGATCATTGAGCAAATTGGAGGAACATAAAAACTGGCAACCATCCACTACATGTACAAAATTCAATATTCCTAACAATTCTACTGCTGAAATACCCCAAATTTATGAGGATTTCTCCAACTCAAGACTGGCACACAGAGGAAAGCCACTACACTAGAACATATATACTAACATTCTATCTTCAATTCCTTCTCAAATTATATAGTAGTAGTCTAAACTTTTAGTGACACTGTGTTGTCAAGAAGCTTCTCACTTGATGATGGTGTAAGTTCATTTTTGGTTCCTCTTCTCTCTTCCTTTTGGGCAGAGATAAAGAGGACAAAGCTCTGGCCGACACCACCTTCTCAACAAGTGATTTCCATAGCCCATCATCTCCCTTTCGTTGCACCTTCTCTTTGAATTGTCTGTAATGTAAAATTGGACATAATTAGAGACTCGGCCCTACTGATGAACAGGGAAAACTACATTATTTAAAGCTGATATTTATGTAATACAGTTCGAACCTATCCATTATTTCAACGTGTTCTAAGGTTACTCAAACATCTTCCAGAAGATATTTACATATACAGACAATTCTTTTGTAGGGATGAAATCAGAAAGAGACATTTCGACTATGAAGAAACTAAAATGGAATTGTCACAAAAAGGCTGGCCCTGCTTGTAAGAGTTAAGTACCGCCTGTGTAAGGACTTAATAAAACCACGATGGCGTTGATAAACTCTTTACAGCTGTTTCATAAAGGTCGTTACCAATGGCTGCTATTAGCCAATTGGAAATAGTAAGTGGATCAAAATTAAAGAGGAAACAGATCACTTAGTTAACATCTTAGTCCTGAAAATTCATTTGAGAACGATCCGAGGTCGAACACAAATGCCTATAAGGATAGGTAGTTGAAACCGACTCCTTTTTCTTTTAAGCTAATGGACAGATTCATCTTATCATATAGATGCAAAAAAATGAAAATCAAATTAGCAACTCAATATGGTTTATACCTGCACAGTGGAACTCGACATTCATCAGGTTGATCACAGATAGACGAATGTAATCTAAGTAGCTGCCACATCCTTTTGCATCGCAGACAACCTCCATTCACCCTTCGTTTACATGTAGCAAAGTGTCGAATCAGTAGCTGGACGCCTTGACATGTTTTGAATTTGCTACATGGCAGCTTCTTTGTGCAGGGCTCCTCACCACATGGCCCTACACTGGTGCATCCTTCAGTGCATATGTGCTCTATACAATCCATCGCTTCGCTTAGCTGTAAATACAAGTTCTGCTCTCTTCTATGCCTTCTTGTCCTCTTCTTCCTCTATAAGAACAAAATTCCAAATTTGATTTGAGTAAACATTCACTGAATGATAAAGGAGGTACAAACAAATGCACCAATAAATATACAACTACTTCTTTCAATCCTATCAACGTACCGAATCAGCCTCATCCATGAACTGCAGAATTTCAAGTTCGAGTTGAGGATCATGATCTAGGAGGAACTTCCAACCCTCAGTCTTTTCAGTTTTCTTGAAATTTGTTGATATCAATTTCAAGCACTTCAGATATAGATCAGGTGCATCACAGAGCCTAGCCAATTGAAGCATATCCACAGCATTTTCAATAGTCAATTGCTCAGCTAACCCCTTTGTGCATCTCTGCTTTAGCTGTGGTACCAAGTACACATGAGAAAGTGCTAGAAGATGAATTCCATGTTTCTTCATCTGCTCTTTGGTACACCTGATCACAAAGGATAATTTGGTCATTACAGGCACAAAGATTTTTCTAAGAAAAAAAAGAAGATATTCTCTCCTCCAATAATAGTGGAAAACTTAGAACCGCCAACGCTTAAGTCTTTGACAAGATATTAATAATGAGAGGCAGGGATTGGTTTAGGTGCCAACTACCAAACTTTTAATCAAATTAAAAATTATCAATGGCTAATGATCACTTTCAACTACAGTAAATTTAGATCTACCATAATTCAAGCCACTCAGATTGAACGAGACTCGTCAAATAACGTGCAAACACAAAAAAAACGAGTGAAATGAATTTGGTAGGAACAAATCTACTG